AAAATTTTTTTTATTTAAAAAAAATTTTTTTTAAGATTTTATTTATTTGACAGACAGAACACAAGTAGGCAGCGAAAACAGCAGAGGGAGAGGGGGAAGCAGGCTCTCAGCTGAGCAGGGAGCCTGACGTGGGGCTCAATCCCAGGACCCTGGGATCATGACCCGAGCTGAAGGTAGCTGCTTAACTGACTGAGCCACCCGGGTGCCCCCTGCTAATTCATTTTTAAGTCAACTTTACAGAGGTATGATTTACATTAAATAAAACTGCCCATCATAAGTTCACAGTTCGACGAGTTTTGACAACGTCCCCTTCCAATCATCATCACAACCCAGATAGGAGTTTTCTGAGCCCAGAGGTTTGCTCTCTCCTCTGTGTTCCATCCAGGATGGGGCCATCCAGTGGTGCCAGGCCCCAGTCTACCTTTGATTTATTTTCACTGTGTGTTAGTTTTGCCCTTGTCTGGGGCTTTTTTTTTTTTCTTAAGATTTTATTTATTTATTTGTCACACAGAGAGAGAGAGAGATTACAAGTAGGCCGAGAGGCAGGCAGAGGCAGAGGGAGAAGCAGGTTCCCTGTGGAGCAAGGAGCCCGATATGGGACTTGATCCCAGGACGCTGGGATCATGACCTGAGCCGAAGACAGCCGCTTAACCAACTGAGCCACCCAGGCATCCCTTGTCTGGGGCTTTTATTTATTTATTTATTTTCATCTTTTTTTAAAAATATTTTTTATTTTTTTATGAACATATAATGTATTTTTATCCCCAGGGGTACAGGTCTGTGAATCGCCAGGTTTACACACTTCACAGCACTCACCATAGCACATACCCTCCCCAATGTCCATAACCCCACCCCCCTCTCCTGACCCCCTCTCCCCCCAGCAACCCTCAGTTTGTTTTGTGACATTAAGAGTCACTTATGGTTTTTCTCCCTCCCGATCCCATCTTGTTTCATTTATTCTTCTCCTACCCCCCTAACCCCCCATGTTGCATCTCCACTTCTTCACATCAGGGAGATCATATGATAGTTGTCTTTCTCCGATTGATTTATTTCACTAAGCATGATACCCTCTAGTTCCATCCACGTCGTCACAAATGGCAAGATTTCATTTCTTTTGATGGCTGCATAATATTCCATTGTATATAGACCACATCTTCTTTATCCATTCATCTGTTGATGGACATCTAGGTTCTTTCCATAGTTTTTTTGCTGCTATAAACAATCGGGTGCATGTGCCCCTTCAGATCACTACGTTTGTATCTTTAGGGTAAATACCCAGTAGTGCAATTGCTGGGTCATAGGGTAGTTCTATTTTCAACTTTTTGAGGAACCTCCATGCTGTTTTCCAGAGTGGCTGCACCAGCTTGCATTCCCACCAACAGTGTAGGAGGGTTCCCCTTTCTCTGCATCCTCGCCAGCATGGCCCAGATGCTTCTGATATTACACGATGTCTCTTCTCCCTGACCTCCATGAGACACACACTCCCTCCTGATTCTGTGGCGTCTTCCCATGTGCTGCTAGTCTTCTGGGCCACCAATCACACCCATGACCTCAACCCCTGCTCAAGATGCTGCTGGCTGCTTAGACTTTGGACAAGGCATTTAATTTCTTGATTTGTGTCCTCTTTTGAAAAATATGGATTATTATAAGGTATTTCATAGGACTGGTTGTTGTAAATATCAGATGAGTAACAAATGAAGAAGGTTATGAAAGAGGACTTGTCCCAGAACAGAGCCCAGATATGTCCATGAACATTTTCCTCCCTCTCTCATTCTCTTCTTTCCTCCTTTTCTTTAACTGTTTCTTGCCTGTTTTCCTTCTTCTGCTGTACTTCTTTTCATTCTTTCTTCTTTCCTTTCCTTTTCTTTATTTTGTTTGGTTTTTGGAGATCTTAAACCCACATAAGAAGGATCCGTGATATGCTTGGAATTCAGAAAAGAAAGGGATTTCTAACAATGGAAACAAAAGAGAGAGAGAGAGAGAGAGAGAGGGAGAGCGTTTGATAGAGGTCTTGAAGTCTGAATAGATCTTATACATGTGGAAAAGAGAGGAGGAACTGGTGGAGACTGGTGGGTGGGAGGTTAGAACCATCACGGAGGCCTTGCTTTCTATGTGGAAATGCTTAAAATCTATCAGGCAAGACAGAGCCTTGAGGGTTGTGTGTGTTTGTGTGCTCACGTGTGCACGTGTGCGCATGAGTGTTTTAATCATGTCCTAGGTATACCGTAGGAGGTTGATACTGAAAATGGCTTTTGTGATTAGTTGAACAGGTAGAGAATAGAACAGAGAAACCATTCGGGGATTTGAATCAGGTGGTGACAAACGAAATAGGGAAGGTTGTTGAGAAATAAGTTGCAAACTCAGGAGAACTCACAGCTAATGGCATGTAGGGCACAAAATATTTGGTGGTGGGGGGCGCCTGGGTGGCTCAGTGGGTTAAGCCACTGCCTTCGGCTCAGGTCATGATCTCAGGGTCCTGGGATCGAGTTCCACATTGGGCTCTCTGCTCAGCGGGGAGCCTGCTTCCCTTCCTCTCTCTCTGCCTGCCTCTCTGCCTACTTGTGATCTCTCTCTGTCAAATAAATAAATAAAATCTTAAAAAAAAAAAAAAAACAACAACATTTGGTGGAAGCAAAGGCATTTGAGTTTTAAACTTAGTGGTAGGAGGGATGGAAGTGACAATACTGCGGAGGGGAAATGTAGGGAAGGAAGGATTTTTGCAAAGAAAGTTTGACATGTCAGCTGGAAATTTGGAAAGTCATGTTTCTAAAATGATGGCAAATATAAGCCTTGAAGTTCTCAGCTACTTAAGCACCATTTACATGGAGTTTGGAATGGAGATTAAATGACCAGGAAATACCATAGTGTAATAAATGTCAGAGGGGAGCAGGGCTTGAGATGCAGTGATGAATGATGAACAATGATCATCGGAGAAATCAGCATAGGAACCTGAACTCCTCAAGAGGATGGGATAGGATTTGGTTTCATGGTTTTCAGTTAAGGTTTGTTTCCTATTAGTTGTTTTCAGTGTAGGATTTGGTGTTTTTCTGGGGGTTTTATCCAAAGAAAAAAATCACTTGTACTAACTTCTGCTTCTTTTAATGAATATTCAGTTTACTAAAGTTGCAAATTCTAAAACCTAATTTTTCATAAGCTCTTACATTCAGACTGTCTTCATTCTATTTGTAAATCTGGTTCAGTTTAGCAATCACTTTCAAGGAGACCTTCACAACTAAGTTAATTAAATTTCATTAAATATTTAAATAAAATTCATAAATTTAATGTATTCATTTCTTGTTTTTAAGCTTTTCGATGGTCTGACAAACTAAATGGTCCCAAATTCTGGGGAAATCTACTTAAGTTTAAGAATCTGAATTTAAAAGGATGTGACTCTTCACTTGGCATGAACGTTACAATATTGTTTTATAAACTCATAAATTTTTCTTGCTTAAAACCACACATCTGAATAAATTACCCAATTCTTAAATTTGGCAAATACATCAAATGGAAAATATACACAAATGATTTCTAAACAGAAATATGTTAGTGCACTGGGCTTGTTTTTGATTGATCATCTTTGTCCCTCACTGTAAACATGGCTGGTTTTTAAAAAAATTATATACCAAGGAGGCGATTTTACTGCCCAAGGTCTGGTCTCCTTAGCAACCATTCCCTTTGCCTTCCTCCAACTTAAAAACTGGAAAGTGAAGTATTCAAATTCTCAGCCTCTCTCGCAGCCAGAGGGGCACTCGACATATATATCCAATGACGTATGTAGATAGGAGTTATGTCTGTTTTATTTTCTGGATACAAAAACAGTAGATACTTGCTCATTGCCACAGTAAATGAGACTTGCTAATTATATCTGAAATGTATGTGAGCCTTACCGTGTTTCAAAAACCATTTCGTGTGCTTTCTATGAGCTAACTGTAATATCTCAAACAACTCTATGAGGGAGATACAATTATCATGCCATTTCATAGATGAGGAGACCGTAACACAGAGAGGTTACTAAGTTGCCCAGAGTCCCACAGCCAGTAAGTGGGCAAAGTTAAGATGTGAGACCCAGCACCCTACTTCCAGAGTCACATTCACCTCTCCACTGTTGTCACCACTCCCCAGTCCTTCTTCCAGCAGGTGCCTGGAGCTCATTGTTGTATCTATTCTGCAACACTGAGAGCATGCTCTGAAAGCTGGCACTTTCCGTGTCTTCCCCATTAGACTAAGGGGTCCTTAGCCATGTGCCTCTTTTACACCCACATCACAGCCCCAGAACTTGTCTCCCACGGATGTTCAACAATTACTTCAATGAACACATGACTTAAGATATGTAAATTAGAAATGTCACAGAAATAGACTTATTTTCAAAGCCTCAGTATGTCAAACCCTTGAAATTTAAAAAAGAAGTAGAAAGGCAGAAAAGTGACTGTAGAGAGGGTGTCACTTTGTCTAATGACCGCTTTGCCGAGTTCCATCATGGAGAGGGAGCTGAGAAGCCCCTCACCAGATCTGGTAAGGAAGGAGAGTCAATGTTGTGCCGCTGTGTATTTTTCCTCGAATGACTGTGTCATTATCTTACACTTTGATAACTGTCTGGCTCTAGAGCAAGAAAATAAATAACAATGTGCTTTTCAGATCTGTGATTTCCCTTGAGAAAATCTGAAGTGTGATTGGGTGCCTGGGCCCCTATGTAGAGCTGATGCCTGCCTTCCCATGTATGGGAAGAGTCAGAGTCTTCTCAATGCCAGAGTCACCAGAACCCGGGATGTGGTCCATAGAAAAGGGGCGTCACTGACAGATTAAGAGATCATATCAAGTTTCATGATGCAGGATATTTATTTGGTTTGGATGAAGTAACGTATTAGAGTTTCCAAAGAAATAGAACCAATGGGAGATATATGTGTGTGTGTATGTGTATTTACACACATATATGTATGTACACAAATATACACATCTATATATACACATCTATACATTTATATACATACATGTATATGTACATCTGATATACTATGAGGTATTGGTTCACACAATTATGGACACTGAGAAGTTGTCTGATCTGCTGTCCATTAGCTGGAGACCAGGAAAGTTGGTGGTGTCATTCAGTCCAAATGCAGAGATCTGAGAGCCAGGAACACCAGGAACAGGAGATGATCCATGTCTCTGCTCAAAAAAATCAGTCAGGGAGGGCTACATTCTGCCTTCTTGTGCCTCTTGGTTCTGTTCAAGTCCTCAGCAGATTGGATGATACCCACCCACAATGAGGAGGGCCAACTGCTTCACTGAGCCCACCAAGGCAAATACTAATTTCATCCAGAAACATACTCAAAGACATACCCAGAAATAATGTTCAGTCAAATATCTGGGGCCCCCACGATCCCATCAAGTTGACACATAAAATTAACCATGACAAATAAATATGTAACACTTGGGAAGAAATGTGTGAATGTTATGTCAGACAAGTATAGCTCGTGGCACATGTTCATTAAGCAAAGCTATTTTGTCTCCCATGGTCTCCTCATTACTTAGCAGGGACCCGCCCTGCCTCCCGGGGCAAACATTCACGTGAACCCAGACTCTCTGGTTGTTGTGAAAGAGATGCAGAGACTCCCTTATTTCAGTCATTCAATTGTCCAGACCCTTAGAGTCTTGGAGCCTCCAACTCAGTGGAAGGTGGCTTCCTGCTTCCCTCCATGGCAGTGGTGTGGGTGGAAAGCCCACAGCCCGCAGCTGGAGGAAGCAGAGTGTGACAGTTTCTCCTGCTCCCATACTCCCCCTTGTAAACTGAGATTCTGAGACCGCTAGGGGGCAGGGGGCAGAAGCGAGAGGGGAAGAGGGTTCTTGCTCATGGTGGCTGTCGTAGCATTGCTGTCCCCATTTTTTGGACTTAGCAGAGTCTCAGAGCTGACTCTCTCTCTCCCATGACTATCATTGGTTGGTTCATGGACTCCCTCCACCCCTGGGGCCTTCTCACCTGTGGCTTCTGTCATGTGGATGGATGTACCCCTATGATACTTTTTTGTCTGTAGCTCCCACAGCCCCCTCCCAACTGGGAGCTGCCTTTGGCTTCCTCCCTGGGCTCCCCGTCACATCTCCAGCTGGGCTGCAGGGACAGGATTTGAGGCACTGCCACTTGCTGATTCACGCTTGCCCACCAACTGTCGCTGGGCCGCAGGAACACACACGAAGCACCTTTACTTCCCAAAGTACAGCTCATCTGCATCAGGGAGCCTCTTGTCTTTCAGATGTTTCTGGCTGGAACTCAGCAGTTACTGCCTCAATTAGGTTATTGTGCTATTTTTATGCTATTTCTTAAAAAAGCCTTTTTTCTGTGTTTCTGTATTTTTCTGTTTTTTTTTTTAAGATTTTGTTTATTTATTAGAGAAAGGGAGAACATGTACACAAGCAGGGGGAATGGCAGAGGGTCAGGGAGAAGCTTGCTAAGCAGGGAGCCCAGACACAGGGCTCAATCCCAGGACCCTGAGATCATGACCTGAGCTGAAAGTGACCCAAAAGTCCTCTTTTCCTATCAGCTTTGCTGAGATTTAATCATATGCCATGTGATTTCCTGGTTTGTATGTGTAGTTCAACAGTTGTTAGTATATTTGCAGACTTGTACAACCATCACCACAATCTCATTTTAGACCATTTTCATCACTCCGACAAGAAACCCCACACTGATTAGCATTCCCTCCTCATTTCTCCCTACCCCTCAGCCCTAGACAACCTCTCATCTCCCTTTTGTCTCTGTAGGTTCACCTATGCTGGGTATTTCCTATAAGGGGAATTGCACAGTATGTGGTCTTTTGTGATGGGCTTCCTTCACTCAGCAGAGCGTTGACGAGGTTTATCTGTGGTGTAGTGTGCATCAGTACTTCCTGTTCTTATTGTCAAATATGACTCCATGTATAGATTTACCCTCATTTTACTTATCCATTCATCAGCCCATGGACCTTCGGATTGCTTCTCATTTTTTGCCTGTTCCGAAGAACACTGCTATGAACACTTGTGTGCAAGCTTTTGTGCGGACATGCATTTTCATTTCTCGCTGGTATCCACCCAGGAGAATGACTGGTTATGTGGGAAATCTGTCATTTGAGGACCCTGCAGACTGTTTTCCACAGTGACTGCTCCATTTCATATTCCCACCTGCATTGTAGGAGGTTCCGATTTCTCCACATCCTCACCAACACTGTACTATCCTTTCCAGGAGAGCCATCCTTCTACCTTATCGTTTCAAGTAGTTTTTTTAAAGCTCCCTGCTTCCCAAGACTGAAGTTGGAGGGGGCATCCCATACCTGCTTCATTTGGCGGTGGTGATGGGCCACTCACGGCCAAGTTCTGTCCAAAGAAATTGTTTTCAAAGATCATTCTCTAAGGTCCAGTCTCTCAGACCTTCTGTCTCAAGGAGGGTGAGGGGTTCTAGGCTCATCATCCTGGTTTTCCTCCACCTCCTTTCCCACACGTTCTGCATGGTAGCGTTTCCCCTTCACTCTCTGTGCTCAATCACATGGGAAATGTTGGATCAAGAGTCTTTAGACCTCAGCTGGAGTGTCCATCTGACAAATGACCTGCTGCTAAAACCATGGGTCGTCTATTTACTATCAACCCACAGCCCCCTATTTTGGGCACAGCCCTCCTCAGACTTCACTTGAATGTGGTGTTCTCTTCATTTGATCCTTAAGATGAGCTGCATTTCATGCAACTGACTTTCCTAAAGGAAAACACACACACACACACACACACACAGTTGCAAATAGTCATGAATCACAAGTGAGAGCATTTATATATCTAACAAGAAGTTATTTTTGTTGACAAATATGTGTGCTTCCCTGTGTTCCTAATAAACCCTTACCTTTTAGACAAAATGAGTTTGAGGTTGCTAACCAAGAGCATAGAATAAAATCAATAGAGAGGTACAATCAATTTGGCACAGCAAGAGATAGAAAGGATAGAAAAATGAAACACAACCAAGAAACACAACATTCACAAAGACTGGGCATTGCTATGTTGGTCAGAAGTGGTCACAGATTTGGCTGAATTCCGTGACTGGCCAAAGAGAGAAACACAATCAGTTTCACAATTCAATATATTTGTAAGCCATGAAAAAAATGCAGTTGCCCTGGTGAATCATACACTTTCCTAAGGGAGAAGTAAGTGTCTCCTGTGTGTTCTCGTAATGGGGATAGCATTCAAGGAGGTGGTCTAAAAGACAATTTAAGCACATAAATCACACATATCTTCATGCTCTTTCTTGTAATGTTTCTCAACGCAAATGGATGGCACATTGCCAAAAATTGTTACTTAGAAAATATTCTTTTTTTTAAATTGTATTTATTTATTTGAGAGAGAGCACAAGCAAGGCAGTGGGGCAAGAAGCAGACTCCCCACTGAGCAGGGAGCCCAGTGTGTGTCTCGATCCCAGGACCACAGGATCATGAACTGAGCTGAAGGCAGACAGTTCACTGAGCCACCCAGGTACCTCTAGAAAATATTCTTATAGATAGAAATATGATGTTAATCAATGGTCTTGTTTTAGATATTACCTAATGTTGGGCTTTCACACTTACACAGACACACTTTAAATTTTCAGGTATATATTTTTAATGTTGATAGCAGTTCTGCCTGATATTAAACATCAAACCCACTTTTGTGGGTGATTTACCTATTGGATAGATATGAGTGTTTTGTACATGTAATTGTAACTTCTTTTGCATATAGGTCTCATGAATTTTCAACTCTTAAAAAAAAAAAGGAATTTTTCTTTCCAGAAGTTGTGGGTTGACAGTCATGGTAAAATTACATAAATGAAGGAAGTCATTCTATGGCATTTACTATGTTTTGTGGGAGATTTAAAGCTCCTTCCTTTGGTGTTTTTTTTTTTTTTTTCCTTTTCCCAGAAAATGTTGTTGTTGGATGTACAAAGAATAAAGCTTTTCAATTTTTAAAAATACTCCTGGTTCTGTGCAGTGAATATTAATTTGTGTGTTCTCAGGGGCTGCTTTACTGGAAAAGGGAAGGCATGAGGCAAAAAAGGGAAAAAGATACGTATAGTCTGGTTAAGTTTCATAAGAAAAATGGTACCATTTTTAAGAGTTATAACACATTTATACAAGTTAAACAGGAAAAAAATTTTTTTTTCCCAGAAAACACCCAATAGCTCAGCTAGAATAAGATTACCTCGCAAATATAAAGTAAATCCATTGAATGCATGGAAGCATCATGATCAGAGGAAAGATAGAGCAAACCCCTGGCCTCATGGTTGTTACAGGTAGGTCTGAATGAAAATCAGATGTAATTGTTTTACTGATGCCAGAATGAGCAGCATGTTGGCATAAACCCAGAGGTCTGGCAATGACTAGTGAGTTAGTAATTGTGCATATAGATTGTTTAAATCGGTTTCTGCCTCATAGCCACTTTCTGCTGTTTTAAGAAATGTTTCCATCCAAAATTAATTGATAAGATTACTTATATGAGATATATATATATACTTACATGATGTGTGTGTGTGTGTGTGTGTGTGTGTATACTCCCTCATGAGAAATACAAATGGTTTCGTCTTTAATAAATCAAAATCTGAGAAGCATTTCCTAAGTGTTTTCCCTGTGGCAGTGGAGGGGAATATACATCTTAATTTTGAAGTCATTTGGACATTTTAAAATATGGAGTATGGAGAATAAAGTAAACCCATCTCTACAAAGTAGACACTAAAATTCCTTGAAGCCAATGAATTACAGAATGAAAGTAGTTCCACCGTTTTTAAAAACAGGTGTCAGAAGTAAGCTTCCCCACCCCTGAAAGGCATCTGGGTGAGGAAAAGACTTCTGTGTGCTTTGCTGATGGCGGTACTGTTCTCTCCGCACCCCTGAACAGTGTCCAACACAAAGTACGTATTCACTATATACCTGCAACAGGAATGAGTGAGTGATAAGCCTAAGTAACAAAATGAATCCATGAAGGAGCTTGGTCTAGTAGAGTCTTGGGACCTACACTGTGGATTGATGAGACTACATTATAATTTAGTTATCATTTGAAAATTATAATTGTCATTGTGAAAGCACAAAGTTATCATTTGATAATTATAATTGTCATTGTGAAAGCACAAAGAAGTCTTTGTGCTTTTATGGCTTCTTTCCTGGTATTTGAAAGCTGGCATCCTTAAAAATTTTAAAGCATTTTTTCTTGATCTTATATACACTATTACATTGGATTTTCCATGGTTCGTTGAACAAAACTCATGCTTTTATCACAAAATAAGAATCAGGTGAGTCTGAATTCATGCATTTCTCCACAGTTCCCATTTTTGTGGCTCATTGTTGAAAGGTCTAAATAGTTATAAGTATTTAATTATTTGGAAACTGTGGCTCAGAGGGTGCCTAGTTTCTCAGCAAACATGTTAAAGGAATATAATGAATGGGTGAGAGACAAACCTAAGTAGCGCAACCCTTGTTGTTACCTAATAGACTGTTAATGCTTTTTGTATTCATGAACATGTTGGAGATAAACTAGCGCCTTCAAACATATTTTGGGGCATTCTCTAGACACAGGACAGTGAACAAATCTAAATCCTTGCCCTTCTGGACGTTACGTTCTAGGGAGAAGAGAGAGGAAATTAACAAATTTTAAAATAATGAAATCTTACAATATTAATTAATCATGATGCATTGAAGTGAGAGTGATTAAGACAAAGCATGGTGATGTTACCTGGAAAAGGTTTTCAGGGAAGCAAGGGAGTGAGCCTTGCAGATGTCTAGAAAGAAAGTGTCTCAGACAAAGGGAAACCAAATGCAAAAGCTCCTAAGATAGGAACATCCTTAAGGTGTTTATGAGACAGGAGGAGGGCCCGTGTTTGAAGCAGAGTGAGGCAGCAGAAGGGCAGTCACAGGGGAGGGCAGAATAATTGAGGGGCCGATTCTATAGG